AGGGCAGGGTGTATGGTTTGGACGGTCTGGAACCTCTAATGGTTGAAAGGCTGAATGAGAGTCAGCGGGGGCTGATGGGGGTTTGGTGTGAGCCCCTGCTCCCAGAGAGACCTCTCACGGGTCCTGGATGGTGTCATTCCAATTAGCAGCCATAGGTGCGAGAGGTTGCATCAGAGAGAGAGGAGGAAGTGGAGCCCAGGAGGGTAATTTTGGTTGCTGTTTGCCTCTCTTCAGTTCCTCTTTCAGAGCCTAATTGGATTTGTTTGCTTTACCTCTGGGCTCTCTGAGGATGCGGGGGCATCCCCTGGAGGAGGTCCCCTTGTCCCCAGGTGGCCTCTTCAGTGTCAATGTTGGCTCTCAAACAGATGTGTACGACAAGTCGCCTGGAAAGGTTGTTACCATGCAAATTCTAGGAAGGTTTGGGTGCAGGAGATTGAAGGTGTGAGCTGAGCATCCGCATGTTTATTAAGTGCCTCCTCCAACCAGGTAATCTGGCTGCCGGGGACCTGGGAGCATTAGTTTGAGCAACTCTGGCCGTCAAGGTTGAGAAATCTGGCTTCTGGCTCAGGATCCACCAGGAACAGCAGGAGTGGGTGCAGTAGCACCTGTAGACACGTGGGATGTGGTTGGCACGGTCTCCGTGAAGTAAAGGCTCTAAGACAGCAACCCCGAGCCAGCGCCTCACGCGTGGAAACGGCTCAAGAAACTCCAGGGTTTAGTATCGGTCACCTTGTGAAAGGTACTGAGCCGAATACACGTGTTGTGAATTCTCCCCTGGACTGTGAACAGCTGCAGCTTGCAGATGGGGAACCGACTTAGGGGAGCCCCACGCGAGGGTCACCCTAGCTAGGCCCCGGGACCCCCCAGCGCTCCAGCCCTCAACCGAGCCGCGGCTGCCCCCCGGGTGGAGTGAGCGCCGAGCGTCTCTTCCTCTCTCTGTACGGTGGCGCTGACAGCGTCTTCCTTGGGACTCCGGTAGGGCTGTCACTGAAGAGTTTAAAAAGATCACAAATGAGAAAATGTTTAGAATATGTCTAGGTAAGAGAGCAGCATTTGAAAAGTTGATGGTAGTAAGGCATCGTTTCTCGAACAGTGTGTTAGGCCCCAGCTGAGTGCTTTTGTCTTACAGTAGATTTTTTTTTCTTATTGTGATAAAATACACATCACCAAATGTGCCATTTAAGCCACCTTCAGGTGGATAATTCTGCGGCGCTCAGGACACTCCTGATGTTGTGCTACCACCACCACCACCACCTAGTCACAGAGCTTGTCCATCCCCCCTAAAAGAAACCCCATACTCCTTGGCACTTACTCCCCGGACCCTGGCAGCCACCTATTTTCCATCTCAATGGATTCACCCATTGTGAACAGTGTGCCTACACGGGATCCCAGAATAGTTGTGCTTTTGTGTCTGGCGCCTTTCGTTTAGCATAACATTTCAAGGCTCAGCATTACATGGGTGTATGTTCCTTCCCACGGCCGAATCGTACTTCTGTATGGGTCCATCCAGTTGTGCATTGATGGATATTTGGGTTATCGATACTTGCTATCTTACTGGGTGTGTGCTGCCCCCACCCGTGTTCCCATGTGGTATGTTCTCTGGTACTGCTTGCAGCAGATCCACGAGGGCAGGTACGGGTTGGATTTTACTGAGGTGGCATCAGTGATCCAGAGAGGTGACGTGACCTGTGACCTGGGTCACGTAGCAGGGAGGGAGCAGAGGCAAGCCTTGAAGCTGTGTCTTTCTGACCCCAGAGCCCAAACAGCAGTAAACCAAGAATTCTCCTTTGGCTTCCAGGGTCCTGCATTAATCTGCCATTGATGGTATAGCAAATCATACCTTGTGGGACCCACTGGGATGAATCATTAGGGATTATTCTTTTTTTTTTTTTAAATCTCTGTTGCTGACCTTCCCTCAGAGCATTGAAGACAGAACCTCTAAAACAGTGGTTCTCAACTAGGGATGATTTCGGCCTCCTCCTTCCCAGGGGGCCATCTACCATGATGTCTGGAGGCACTTCTGGTTGTCCACAGGGAGGGGTGCGGCTGGCAGCCAGTGGGTGGAGGTGCTGGGGGGGGAGGGGCCCACAGCAGAGGCAGCTCTAGCCCACATGGCAATAGTACCCAGGCTGAGAACCCCTGCTCTAGAATTAGGACCTGAGTGCCAGTATTCTCTAAACTTCCTGGCTCATTCAAATGAGCCCTCAGGGGTAAGAGTGCCTCTCAGACTTGGCAGTGCCTAACAATCATGCGGATTCCTTAGGCCTGGGGTGGGGCCCGAGGCTCTGCATTTCTGACAGGGTCTGGGTAATGCTCATCTCGGTTCAGGACTGGAAAACAGAGGAGAAAGTACAGGGAGCTGGGCTAGACTCTTGGTTCTCTCTCTTTAAATTATTGTTTAAGAAAACAGTCTTTTCCTTCAGCTCAGGCGAAGGAGTGGGAAATGCAAGTGTGGCCGAGGGAGAGAATGTTGTGAGTCTCTGCAGGGAGAAGCGGTGAAGCTGCTCCAGGAAGGAGACCGTGGTGTTCACAGCATTGCACAGTGATTCACAGAGCAGCCATCCGGGCCAGCCTCTCCCCAGAGCGGAGAGTCACGGCCACGGCCAGTCCCCGGCCCGGCTGGCCGCGAGCCCTTGGCTGACTCTCCCAGTAGTGATGATTAAGGCTTTCCACCTGCAAAATGGGAGGGATGGCTCTTGCCGCCTCCCCACCCATTCCTGGGGCCAGAAGCCCCCCAGCTGCCCCCCAAACTCATCAAAGGCAGATCTTAAAAGTTGGGGCCTGCTTTCCTAGGCGATGCAACTGCTGTTTTCACTGCTAATAAATCTCCATTTGTGGCAGCTCAATTAGGAAGTCATACAAAACTCCTATATTGAAAGAAGGGATTAATAACCCGGCCCATGTGGGAGAGATTAGCAGCTTCTGCAGAGAGGCCTTTTTAATATATACTCTTAACTGGCAGCCCCTTGGAACAGCACCGGCTGGCTGGTCCCTGGGCTGAGCCGGGCAGGGGGCGAAACCAGCAGGGGATCATTGTGAGTCATTGGGTTGCACTTTCAAGGTGAAGTGTCTGGGAGCATGTGGCTGGTCCACAATTGACTGCTGAAATGTTGCCAAACGCACGGTTACTCCAGAAGGAGCCAGGTTCAGGAGAGATGGAAGGGGATGCTCGGCCACCTGGAGGTGCAGGCCGGCCAGGAGGGAAGGGTTAGGCTCGGGCTGCTGCCTGCCATAGCTCCCGGATGGGGAGGTCCTCGGGCCCCTGGCACAGAAAGGGCTGGCCCTCTGCCCAGTTCTTGGGCTTGGGAGGAACGCCAGGAGCTCGGGCTGACTCACGAGGGGAGGGCCAGCCTCTGCGGCCCACGCTGCTAAGGCGAGGCCTGAGCAGATGGGTCTCTCTCGCTGACTGGGACTTGTTTCTCACCCTGCCCGGGAAACGTGGCTGGAGAGGGTCTTCATTCTCTCTTGCAACCTGTCTTCCAGAAAAATCGGTGGCTGGCCGGAGTGAGCAAGGGATGGAGGTCTAGAGCTGGGACAAAGCAGCTTCTGAGGATTCAAATCTGAGTCCCTTGGTCAAGGGGTGGCCTGACTTCTCTTAGCTTTAGTTTTCTCTGTAGGCAAATGTGAATAATTTTAATGCTTCCTTCCTCCGAAGGTTACTTTGAGCATTTTCAAGTATTATATCACTGTGGCTTGGTGCTTAGCATCGGCCTGTCCTGTGTCTCCATCTTTCATTCATCATATATACAGATGAGGATATAGGTAGAGAGTCTGATAGGTATGTATTAAGATATATTGAGATATATCCACATTCATGTATATCCATCAGTCTTTTTATCAGTCCATCCATCCTGAGTACGTCCTACTAAGTCTGAGGCACTGGTCCTGGCCCTGGGATTACAGCAGGGCTCCCTCCTGGGGGCATACCTTCTAGTGGGGAGAGATTTGAAAGACAGGTGAACTAATAAAACAGGGTCTTGCAAGATAAAGGGAGAGAGGAAGAGAGAGACATGGATGGATGGATGGGAACTAACTTGAAGGCAGGAGGCTACGTAGAGGAGTAGGAGGTAAGGAAGCCTTTCTGAGAAGGGGGCGTTGGAGGAGAAACCTACATGAAGCGAAGATGGGAGTAACAGGAATAACCTTCTAGAGAGAGGGACTAGAAAGTACAAGCACTCAAAGATAGGAGTGTGCTGAGTGTGTTGGAGAGACATTGAGAGCATTCCAGAAGTGGAGCAGTTGGGTGGCTCAGTGGTTGAGCATCTGCCTTCAGCTCAGGGCTTGATTCTGGGATCCTGGGATCGAGTCCCACATCGGGCTCCCTGTAGGGACCCTACTTATCCTCTGCCTATGTCTCTGACTCTCTCTCTCTCTCTCTCATGAATAAATAAAATCTTTTTTTTTTTTTAAGCACATTCTAGAAGTATGGCTGAAACAGTGAGCCAGGCGGTTGGGAGTGGGGAGGAGGGGAGGTCCTAGAAAGTGAGTTCAGAGAGATGATGGGGCAATCATGCTGTTTCGAAGACTCAGTTCAGAATTGCCAGTGAAGTCCCAAGCTGCTATGTCTAAACCCCGTAGGAACTGGGTCCTAGCGCTTAGCATGCATGATTCCTTCAAGAATTTGTTGACAATCAGGTGCACGAGGAGAGGACACCCGGGCCAAGGGACTCTCTTATGAAAAAGCTGATTTGCCCTTTTATAAAATAAAGACCAAACCTCATTCGCTTCTCCTCCCTGCAAGGAGAACAGACGTCTCTGTCCCTTGGTTCATGAAAACAAAATGTGTTGTTAGAAGAAAACCAGCCCAAATAACTTAGGGCACTTTTACGTTGACATGGCATTTCCAGAGTCAGTGGTTGCCGGGACCCATGGCTTCATGTTTGCCATGACAACAGGTGACAAAGATGGGCAGAGCGTGTCTGTTTGCCGTGAAATCGGAAAGCCTCTTGTGAGCGGACTTGTCCTGCCATCACCGTGACTTCTTTCTCTCTTGCCCTCAGCCCAGCGATCCGCCCACGAGCTGCCCATGGTGGAGAGACAAGACATTGACAGCTGCCTGGTTTATGGGGGCCAGCAGATGATCCTCACCGGACAGAACTTCACCGCCGAGTCCAAAGTCGTGTTTACTGAGAAGACCACAGGTCAGGGGGCTTTTTGAGCTCTTTTGTTGTCCGCTGGCACCATATCAAAGCACCATCTTTTTCTTCCAAACAACACCATTTGGGGGGATAGATTCTGTTGGGTAGGGCTTTCTAGTCTGCTCTTTCTGCTCACCACGAGCAGCTCCCCAGGCCTCCAGCGACTGATATCAGCACAGTTCACCATGCCATGTGCCATGATGTGGTCTGGGTTGTTCTGTTGGTTGGTGAGGTTGACCTCCACCCAAAACTCTTTTTTTTTTTCCCTACTATATTTTCACATAGAGAGGCGAACCTTTTCAACTTTTGACTATTATCAAAAAGGGAGGCCTTTCACAGGACCTGAGTTCACACGCTCTGGCCCTGGATCTCCTAGGTGTAGATGCCAACTTTGCTACTTGCTTGTTCTGTGATCTTAGGCACATCACCCCCCCTTCTGTGTCTTCATTTCCTTGCGTATAGGATGATAATAACAAAGGTTCCTACCCCACAGTATTGTCAGGAAGGCTAACCGGGTTAATACAGGTCGAGTAATTATAACAGCACCAGTTTATTGCAGGCCAATAAACATAAGCTACTTATGATTTTATTACAAATAGTGCTGCGCTGAATCTTCTCTAATACTTTTAGGATTAATTAACTAATCTTCTATACCTGAGTGTCCATTGCTGTGTACTTAGGGTTTATTCCTAAAGCGGAATTTTGGATAGTCGTTTTGAGAGCTTTAATTACCTTCTGGAAATGTACAAATTGAAACTTCCATCAATCCCATGTTCGGAATGGTTTCACCACATCCCAGAAGTGCCATTTTTTTTTAAATTAAAAAATACTTGCTGAATTGCTACTTCTCTTTACTACACGCGCCTTTGCTGTGAGAGCTGTGATGTTTTTGTTTATTGGCCGTGTGTATTCTTCCTTCCATATATTGTCTGTTAATATCTTTGGCCAATGAGGACACGGTAAAAAGAGAATGATCTAAAATAGGATGAATTTCAAGTTATGCAATTATTTGTTAGTTATGGATGCTAGACCAACTTTTTTTTTTTCTAATGGACATGATTGCAGTAGGTTAATTCTAAGGGGGTATTATATTGATATTTGTTGACTGTCTTTAGGATGATTTGGAGATCATAGTAGGCAGGCTGTCCAGTTGTGAGGATTGTGCACTGCATAAGGGCACCTCTTCTAGGGACTACCATTCAAATGGGGATCCATCATCAGTGTGTTACTAAGACAGCTGCTGGCAAGAGGAAGTGGGATGTCTTAGGGAAGGGGTGTTTCTTCCCATTTCACACAACGCCTTCTCCTGGGGTGGGCTGGCTCTGTGACCAGACATGACATTAAGGAAGACTGTGGCAGTGGGGGCTGGAGATGGATGGGTGGGTTTGGGAGTAGTTTAAAGGGAATGTGATCCATCCCTGTGGGTTTGAGGAGTAGTGGTGGTATGGTGAGGGGTTAGGGATGCCGACATTTAAATGGGTGCATTGCATTCTATCCCATGTTTGTACAGTACTTTAGTTAGCTATTCCCATTTTATTATACCTTAGGCTGCTCCCAGCTCTGTGCTATTATGAGTAACTCAGTGATGAACATCCTCTACATCCCTTTAGTCAGCTAGGTAGGAGCTCATGCTCTTGAGCCAAAACCGAGCTCCGCTGTTTCCTAGCGGTGTGATGATGGGCAGGTTACATGATTTTCTCGTCTATACGATGATGAAGATGACAGTCCTACCTCATAGGGTGGCCATAGGATTAAACATTTCTGCATGTTAAGTACTCACAACATGCTTGGTATATATAGTGCTCAAGATACATTAAGTAATGCTATTTGGTGTTATTTCCTAGGGTTAAGGCCTGCCTGTGGTGTCATGGCTTCATGGAGGCATGCACGGTTTTAAGCATCTTGCGGGGTGGCTTACTTTTCAGATGATGGAACAGTGAACTACTCTCTTCTGCAGGAATTTTCTAGGCTTTTGTAAATCAGAGGGCAAACCGATGTGGCTGGCATGTTGTGACAAAGCAGGCAGAGGTCAGAACAGAGAGGTCTCCCAGTGCCAGGTAGGGACATGGCCTTGGTTCGGTCAGCACATGGTCAGGGGGAGTCGTGGTGAGTTCTCCAGCAGGAGAGTGGCATGAGGTGTAGATGTCCAAGCGCTCACTCGTTGCTCCAGCGTTGGTGCCTCCTGTGTGAGCAAACCGTCCTGCGCGCCTTCCGCTGACTTTCACCAGAAGCCTGTGGATTCGTAGCACCTGTTAGCAGAGGGGAAATGCTCATAAGACAGAGACGTCTTGTCAGCCACACACGGGTTGGCAGATGCTCTGGGGGTGGGGGTGGCTTGGAGGGAGGTCGGGTCCTACTAGGTCCCCCACGGATTTAGGAGCCAGCCAGTTGTCCTTGTCCCAAGAGCTCAGGCACTTGTGACGCCCTCTGAGGGGCACCAGTGAAGTGTTTGTTGAGTGAATGAATGATGGTTTTCCTCTCTAGCTTGCTGTCTCTTGGTTTCAGAGGAAATGTCACGGTTGACCTCCTGGTGGGAGGAAAACTCAGAGTCTGTTTCAATTTTGAAAAGTCGTGTATTAATAAGGAATAAGGAGTAATTAAGGAGTTAATAAGGAATAATAATAATAGCAGCCATGTCTGCTCTTTGCTGTCACTTTGCACGTTGTGGGCGGGGGGATGAGGGACTCACCCACGGTTAACACCCACCATTGTCCTGGTGTCCAGCCTCCCGGTTTCCTTCTCCATAAAATGAGATGATAATGCCCCCTCCCCACAAGAGTTAAATGGATACACAGGCAGCATGCGCTTAGGGTGCAGAGTGTGCTCACTGAACGTTTGCTGTCATTTGTATGCTCAGAACTGTCATGGCTCGGGCCACCATTGACTCGATGGTTGCAAGCACAGGTTCTGAGCTCAGAAGGCCTGGATTCGAATCCGTGATGTGCTTTCAGTAGCTTCGGCATCCTGGATCAGTCCCTTCACCTCTCCGAGCCCCCATTTCCTCTTTTGTAACATGCACATGATTTACTTCTCGTGAGAGAGGATGGCATGAGTGGGTGGCACAGGTGGGGCTCTTCGCCTAGATCTTAGCACACTGTAGATGCTCAGGAAACCTGAGTTTTTATTGTTAGCATTACATTTAGGCCGTGGAAGAACAAAGACGGATGAGATTTTATCTCATGGCCCTAGGGGACATTGAAAAACAATAAGCAACAATAAGGAACTATCTGCCAGGCCTTGTTCTAAGCACTTTGTGTGTATTACCGAATCTGATGCCTCCTGACAACCCTACCAGGTAGCTACTCTTCTCCTCATTTTCCTAACGAGAGCCTGAGCACAGAGAGGTTAAGTAACTTAGGGAAGATCACACAGGTGCCAAGTGGCAGTGCTGGATCCGGCACCCCTGACCATTAGCTCTTCTGAGGAAGCTCAGAACCAGGTTAATTTGCCTGAAGGCCCTTCAGCTGCTTTGAGCCACTGACATGAGCCATTTTGTGGTGAAATAGGTCCTTGGATGTTGCAGGGGGTCACTGGGTTCCAGAGGACCCATTCAGAACCCCTTCGTGCCTAGCTTAAAGAATCCTGGGTGAAGGTGGTTTCTGGATTGATGCCAGCAGACCAGCAGGGGTCTCGGAGATGCCCCTGTGCCCCCAGAGAGCCAGTGGCCTTCCCTCGGGGGGGGGGTGTGGCTCCTTGGGGCTCCAACAGGCAGGGGGGGCTAGTTGCAGGGAGCTGCTCTTTTGACCCCAAGCCCTCGCCTCCTAGCCCAGGACAGCCTTCTGCAGGGGGAATCCCTGTTGCTCAACTTCGTTTTTCCAAAACGCATCTCCGTTCCCATCTCCATGGACAGCTTGGCTGGCAAGGGCGCTGCGGGGCGGGGCGGAGTGGAACGGACTGAAGTTTTCCAAGGAAGGGGAACCCCAGCTGGTTCTCACATTAAGGAAAGGTGACAGCCTCCTGGGCTAATCTTAGCCCCCACGTTGGGTCATCGGCACCACCAGCTCCAATGTTCTTTTTATAGCCGTCAACTGAAATGGGGTTGGCAGCTTCTACTCCAGCAGGATGACAAACTGGAGAGTGATGGAAAAACAGTAGGAGAGGGGCAGCATGGTGTTTCTTAAGTTAGAAAAGCTTGGTGTTTTGGAAAATGGCAGCTTATTTATAGCAGCAGTAATAATAATGACTATTATATTATTTTTATTACTATTTTAAATTATTTTCACGACTTCCAGGAGCCTGTATGATCTGGCCCTTGCCCATCCCTCTGAATTCACGCTTTTTGGACCGAACCCTTGCTCGCTTGGCCATAGGTACAACTGTCTTCGTTCTGTCCTCAGACACCCCATGCTGGTTTGTGCCTCAGGACCTTGGCTTTCACCGTCCCCTCTTAGAATGTCCTTCCACCATTTCTTTACGAGGTTGCGTCCTCCTGTGTCTCTGAGGTGACTTTCTCAACAAGCGCCTCCTTGACCCTCTGCTCTGAAGTTGCTCTACATCCCCCTCCCCATAACCCTGTCACCTTAGTTACGTCACATTGTCCTGCTTTGTTTTCTGGGTGGCACCTCGCTCTGCTGAAATTATCTTGCCTGTTTGTTGATTCATTTGTTGTCTGGTCTCCCACACCAGACTCCTAGTACCTCGAGGGTGGGGACTCCATGTTTGCTGCTGTATCCACAGCATCTAGAACAATCCCTGTGCACATAGTAGGTATTCATTCATACTGTCCAGTGGGTATCTTCTCCTTTAAAATTCACATCGTCCCCAAGAGACAGGTGACATGGTCCCCGTTTACAGCCAAGGTATCAACAGGTCAGCCCAGAGCTGGTGACAGAGCTGGATCCCAGGTGGTGTTAATCAGCATCCGCCCCCCTCCCCGTAGCCCCCACCCCCCACCCCAAGGAAGCTTTCTGGTCATGTCCACGAGGGCAAAGAGAAACCAAACAGGATGATCGGGGTCTTTCCTATTTACCGTCCTCGGTGATGGCCTAAAACCCTTCATATAG